GTTCTGGACTGTCTGTGTGAGAGGGATGTGTTGCACTCGAATATTTGAGGAATTGATGTTCTTGATGGAGAAACATCGTGTCGAGTGAGTCAGAACCCAGAAGTCTCATTGCACTAGAAAATGAAGCAGTGAGAGATCTGGTATTCTGTATTTGAATGAACTGTTTACACACAACATGTCCCAAATTCAAACAAAAGGAACAAACTAAGAAAAAGCGGAAAAAAACCTACCCCTAGAATTTCATTTAAGAAAGCCTGAAAAGTATTGTCTTTTGTCCTTCTTGAAAGGCTTTGTTCTTTCCCGTGTCAAGACAGAGGTTGCCAGGACATTTCCCTGAGCAGAACTTTGCAGAGTTTTCATACACCTGAATGGAGGAAGGTCTGCCAGAGCACCAGTTGGGCCTGAAAGTGCAACTTAATTAAGGACTTGGGACAAGAGTCCCCAAAGTGTGAGAATGTTTATGCATTTTGCTCCCCTTAGATTTCACGGCTGTTGCTGAAGAGGTGACATAATGCCCTCAAATCTTGACTTGGCCTTTAAAAGGCTGTGTTTTTATGACACATGCTCCCTTCTCTCTGCTGGGTAATTTACTCAACTAGATGAAGAAGCACAATAAAAAGCCAGAGTTACACTGTCCCTTTCTTTAATGTCCTTGTTTAAGGCTGATTTCAGACTGTTTTTATATATTGCCCATGTTGCATTTTTTCAACCCATATAAAAGTATTTTTTCAGGCTCTAGGCGCTAATTGTTATCACATTATTTTAATTTTGAAGCTTAAATGGAGTTCATGCCTGAGGCATTTTAAAGACATTTACTTCTTATGAAAACTACTCCTGCCCCATACTAAAGAAACGCCATGCCTACAACAGTCAGTTCTTTAATTTTAAAAGTAAAGGTAGTGAGAAAAGTAGTTCATATGGATTGCTAATGTACTTTCTTTAGAGCCAGTAACACATTATTTCCTGTAAAGGTACACATACCAATGGGATGGGAAAAGTAAAGGATTCTGGGAATATAATAGCATAGAAGAGATTAGCTATGTAAAGATTTGGGGTATGGGAGCTTCTTTTGAAATGAATGAGTGTATTTTTTGCAAGAGATCAAAATCTCTGTATACATTTCTTACTGAAGTGGTCACAGAAAGAAATAAAACAGATCGAGGTAAGTAATTACTATTTTCTTCCTGTCCTATTTTATACAGGAGAAGATTCTTTAAACCAGATATTTCTTTATGAATCCCATGTGATAATCAGAGAAGTGGCATAGATATGTTTCACAAAATGTATTTCAAGTATTACTATTCAATAATGCCATTTAACTTTTACTCCTAATTATTGTAACTTGACTAGTATTATTAACAATAAAATATGTTTTATTTTATTTTTTTATAAACAAATGTACTGCAATGCGCTTTTTGATGTGATAACAAATGAAGTGATACAATTAAGAACTGGAAGATGGATATAATTAATTTAAACAGGTTATTCCTGTCAGCGTAGCTACATAGGTTGATGAACTTCCAAGGAACCTGAGGAGCAGGAAATGTTTGAGAAGAAGGGGTAAAAGTCAGGCTGTCCTGGACTCCCATTCCAAATTCCCTGTTCACTTTAGCAGGTCCAGGATTTCCCCCAAGCCACTTATAGGGCTATTCAAAACGTCAGATGCAGAGAGATTTAGTCTAACATAGCATATCACATATGATCCATGTGGTATAGCATAACATATATGTATAATATCATATAAAATATTTCCATCGTAATGCATTTGAAACCTACACAAAGAAGGACTGCTTTTGAGAGGTGCTTCACAACCCTGTATTTCACAGTTACTTTGGGGTCTGCGCTCTCTCAAAGAGGAAACTGAAGTGCCACTTTTTCTAGACTTTCTCTTTTCCCTAGCTTTGCATGTGAGGGGCTAAATCCTAGTTATCTTTCTGTAGCTACATGGTATGTACAAAGTTTGGTGGTTATAGAGCTCTAGGGTTTCTAGTTCACTCTGCCAGAAGGAAAACAGGCACCAAGGCCGAGGACTGCAGAGCCCCAGGGAGATTCTGGAGATCAAGGATGGTTTGAGAAGCTGAGTACAGGAAAACCACACATTACAAAAAAAAAAAAAAAAAGGCAAAGAAATCTTAATAGCCCATCTAATACTGGAATACAAACCACTGACAATTGCTAAGACAATACCGATAAAGCATAGTGAGCTGCTGATTTAAAAGAAATATCCATTCATTGAGAGTCACACAATCATTAGTACAGAAAGAAAGAAATCTTTTAGATTCAGGTCTTAATGATCTTGAATGTGTGGGCAGCCTTCTGGGCAAAATAACTTCTTACCAAGGCTCCAGAGACTAGGTTTCAAAGAAGCGCTGATCTTGGTTCACCTGCAGAGGGGTAATACAGCAAGGATCAGGGCTCCTGCCCAAGCCTGGGATCTTTATCAACAGTTTTTAGTTGATTTTAAAAAGCTTATGAGATGATCACAAATCAGGCTATCAGATTAAAAAAATTCTTATCATGCAAATTCTTCATTAGGATACAATTATTCCATCTAATATGGTGCTCAGGTATGCCTCATTGGTTTCTTAGGGCATAGACACGTTTTAGTTGACAGTATAAAGCTAGCTCTCTGGCAAAACCAGATCTCACCAGTATAAAACGAAAAGGTTGGCTGGGTGAATGTTAGTTCGTCAAGGACAGCTAGACATCACCTGTGATGGAGTCCATGGGTCTGTAAAGTCAGGGGAAGGGCATAGCAAGGTCACCATACCTTCCTCACTGTTTCACACCATGGGTGTTATCTCACCAGTTAATCCAGCAGTGCCACCACTGCTGAAATAGAGAATTCAGTGAGATTGGGGATTTGATCTAATAGGAAGAAGCAAACTCCCTCTGGTTCAGGGTGTTTCTGTTCCTAATTTTATAGCAGCTATTCTTCAGGTATTTTACCTGTACCACTCCAAGTCTAGCCCCCTCACAAAGTATTTTGCACTGTGTGTCATGCATGCAGCCAGTTACTAGAAACTTTCTGAATTATTTCATTTGGGGGGAAAATGTCCCTTAAAAGAGTGAAATGTCCTTTTCTAATAAAAAAATATCCACACACATTAATTGAAATACTGATTGACAGTTTTTTATCAAAAGCATTATCTAACTGATATTTCTTCTTATTTATATTTTATAAGTGATTTAGTAGAATTAAAATGATATGGCACGGAGCTCAACCAAAATGAGAATAATTTTGTTCCACTTTTTTTATGAAAATTATTATTTATTTTCAAACAGCTTTGGTTGTATTCTTTTCTACTTTTTTTCTTTCTTTTTCTTTTCTTAAGAGCCTACAACTGGAGGTGATACCTTTCATCGAGTCTATTTCAGTTTTGGCTGCTCAAGTTGCTGTATTTTAGTATCCAGAAACAAGTGAGAGCCTGTCCTATGAATTTCACATGTTTTTAAGGAGTATCAATTTGAGCACTGGAAACACCGAACACTAAAAAGGTAGAGCAGATGGAAAAAAATTCTGTTCGAAACATTCTTTTTAACCAGTACTTTGGTTTTCAGAATCGCTATCGGCAGACAAGGTTCCTTGCTGGCCTCCAAGAGCACAGAACAACTGCAGACTTCCTCCGCCTGCAGAAGGGTGTTTGACCAGAAAGCTGGCAAAGAAGAATTGTTCCAACTATTTTAGTTGGTCTAATAAAAAATATCAGATTTACCCAAAGAACCTTGTCTGTCTATGTCCCTAGACCAACACGGCTACAGCCTATACCCCAGATTTTCTATAGAAACTTTCCTGGGAGCAGGTATTGGGGTTTTTTTAGAACTTGTTTATTAAATACTAAGGCGTTTGGGACAGAGAATATCTCCTCATACTCCTACGTGCAGTTCCTGCCTTGTCAATTGTTCCTTCTCCTATTACTACTAATCATGTTAATAATGATGAATGGCAATGTAGATGGTGATGGAAAAGGAGAGTGGCCAGAATGACTGACCCACATACAATCATTGTGCAATGTTTTGCCATGAGGTGTTTCTGTTAGATTATTTCTCATTGACATCAGTCAGACTCACACGTAACAAGGTAGTATTAGGATTGTAGCTACTATTTGGGTACTATTACCAGCATGGAGCACAGGAACTCATTATTTGTCCTGCATCTGGCAGGGAAAATAGCATGCACAGACTTCCTCAATGCCATGGCTCCAATTAACTCATTGAAACCCAGATAAAATGTCTCTGTAGAGCATAGTAGTTCAGGGATTGGAAACCTTTTCCAACTGCAAACCAGAATAATCTGCCCTTATTGGAGGTGGGTGGGTGCTAGCACCTGTCCAACACTCTTACTAGTCTCTTCTCATGGCACAAGTAGAAGTCCTGCAGCTGGAGTTACTTCTCATAGCAGCCTAGGGGCAGCACCTGCAGAAAGTGTGCTCCCACCGACAAATGCCGCCAAAGACCCCAAACCCCTAAGCCAAATTCAAAGTTTATGCAGGCCGTAGGTTGCTGGTTCCTGCTGTAGTCAATTCTGTACCTGCAGCATAGATGTACCATGACTTAAACCACTGGAACTCCACATGTAGGTAGGGCCTGCAGCTGGACGTACTAACGCTAGGCTAATTTCAGTGCCAAAGACCCCAAACTCCTAAGCCAAATTCAAAGTTTATGCAGGACGTAGTTTGCTGGTTCCTGCTGTAGTCAATTCTGTATCTGCAGCATAGATGTACCATGACTTAAACCACTGGAACTCCACATGTAGGTAGGGCCTGCAGCTGGACGTACTAACGCTAGGCTAATTTCAGAAACCTCTAGCCTAAATAAAGACTATTCGCAGGGAAGTGAAGATATTGTCTCATGAACCATAATTTGTGGCATTTCTTCCACAGGAGAAAACGTGCCAGCTGCCTCAGGTGCCATTATTTTGTGCATAGGAGTGCCACATGAAAAGTGTGTGCATATTCCACCAGGCATTTGGTTGTTGTCCAGGGCTTCAGGCACAGCCACATGAAGAGGAAATGAAGAGTGGGAACAAAACTTCTTTGGCAGACTTCATTCTGCTGGGACTCCTGAGCCGGACCAAAGTGCAAAAGTTCTCCCTGGCCATAATCTTATTAGCCTTCATCATTGCCTTGTCTGGCAATGCTCTCCTCATACTTCTAATCAAAGTGGATTCCTCCCTTCACACCCCCATGTACTTTTTCCTAAGTCAGTTGGCCTTCATGGACATCTGTCAGACTCTGATTGTTGTTCCCAAAATGGCAGCAGACTTCCTGACCCCAGGCAACCCCATTTCTCCAGCTGGCTGTGGGGTTCAGATTTTCCTCTCCTTGGCAATGGGTGTATCGGAGTGTCTCCTTCTGGCAGTCATGGCTTATGACAGGTATGTAGCCATTTGCAATCCCTTGCAATACCCCATCCTCCTGAGCAGGAGAGTCTGCCTGGGCGTGACAAGTGGGGTTTGGATCGGAGCATCTGCAAATGCCTTGATTCTTACAGCTTCTACAATGCACCTGCCCTACTGTGGCACTAAAGAGATTAATCACTTCTTCTGTGAGATCCCAGCCCTGCTCAAATTGTCCTGCTCTGACACATCCCAATATGAGACTCTGCTGTTTATGTGTGCCATTGTTTTGCTCCTCGTCCCCTCTTCTGTTATCCTAGCCTCTTATGCTCGCATCCTTGCTGCAGTCCTAAGGATGAAGTCAACCAAAGGACAGCAGAAAGCTCTGGCCACTTGTTCCTCCCACCTGACTGTGGTGGGCATGTTTTACGGGGCAGCCATCTTCATGTACATGAGACCCAGCTCCTACCACTCCCCAGAGCAAGACAAGATTGTGTCTCTGTTTTACACAATTGTGCCCCCAGTACTGAATCCACTCACCTACAGCCTGAGAAACAGGGATGTCTTAAGAGCCCTAAGAAAGCTGTTTGGAAATTGCAGAGTCTTCCAACAAAATTGACAGCAGCCACAGTTTACTATGTGCTACGTGTGATCAATCTAAGAAGGCTACTGGCATGGGTTTCTTGATCATTTAGAAGGAATCTAAAATTTTCTCAGTCACTTAAGCCAGTGCCCTATTGAGTTTCTCAGCTAGTGCCCTACTGAGAATCAAAGTCTTTTGCACTCTATCACTTAAACCCTATAAAGAAGGTGTGAGAAAGTTCCCTCCACTCAGTCAGGTCACTAGTATTTATTTCCTCGTTGCAGGAAATTTAAACAAATAACTGCATACACTGGGCATATCTAGACTAATCTACAAATGACCTGCTCAAAGGATTTAGGCCTTGTTGGCACTCCTTTAGCCATATGGCCTGCCTTACCACATTGATAACACCCCACGCCACGTGGTGTTACCTTTGGTGGTCCTTGTGTTCTATTTTCCTCTCGTGGCCATTCATGCTAGGGTGCCTGAGACTTGTACTTTGGCCTCTGTCACATTGTGATACTGCTAAAGCATCCACAATCCAGAGAACCTCTTCACAGTTGTAGGGTTGGTGTCTGTGCACCCACCTCTGTGTCTCCGCCTCCAAGTCCCACATGAACTGTTCTAATAAGATCTGATCGATTACCCCATCATGCTCATAAAGGTTCAGAAAAAGCCATTTTTTAAGCCTATCTCTTAGTGCCTGCATCAGAATGCAAGGATGAGTTTCTTCACATGCTTTACAGGCCCAAAAGGCCAGCCTATGATTTTCCGGTGTTATCTCAAGGTGGTACAGGATTGTGGCCTTAACGGTCTCATAATTACAAACATCTTCTCTAGAAAGAGACCGATACTCTGCCTACGCCTTATCTACTACTAACATCCCTAATTCATAGGCCCACTGCATGCAGTCTAACCCCACTTGCAAGGCAGTCCACTCAAATGATCTGATGTATGCCTCGGGGTCATCATCTTTAGTTATTCGTGGCATTTTGAGTAGTGACGAATTTGTTTGGAGCCATTCCTGCTGAAGAGCTCCCTGCAACTGTTGCAGGTCTAAGACCTGTCCTAGTGCCTGAAGGGCCTGGCCTAGCAGTTCTGTGTGGGACATGATTGTTGGATCCATAATAGTAATTTCCCAGGTCACATCTCTGATCCTTTCCTGTTCCTGCTCAGTATACCACTCATGCTTCCGCTTACCTGTCAAACGCTTTACAGAGTACCCATGCAGGTGAGACTCCCCTCGACTTGCCTACCACAACTTGATGGAAATAAATTCAACTGAGGGGTTCAGTGGTGTAAATACAGAAGTCCCTACTTGGAGTACTCATATTTCTTACAACGGTTGACATTGGGGCTCCACCTCCCCTACAGTCCAGCCACATGCCAGCCGTCGGTGTTGAGACGATATGATCTGATGCAGCACGTCAGCCTGGTCTGGTCCCAGCCTTCGACAACTCTGGCAGTGTTTTTTCTGGCCCTGTCTAGGTTGTCAGACCTTGTATGCAAGAAGCAACTCCCTGTAGTGGGTCTTGGATGAGAGCCTGTGTGCGCCCTGGCTCTTGCAGCTTCTCAAAACTATTCACAAAGCAAAATAAATAATTAAAATAAAACCAAGAACGTCTCCACAGTGGATGGGCTGTCTCCTCTAAAGCCCATGCCCGTGTTGGGTTTCAGTGAATTCTCTCCACTCCCTGTGGGACCTAAACTCTGAAACAGGTTGAGGATTTGGCTCTCCAGGCTCTGCCTTTTGGAGCCCCTTTGCTGTGTGCTAGTTGAGCCCGTGCGGCCCCTGCATCACCTTATCTCAGTGCCCCAAGGCTGTCCCTGCCTCAGCCTCAGCTGGCCCAGAGGCAGGTCCCCCCTCTCTCTTGCTGGCACCCTGAGTGCCTTTTAACTTCTTCGTGGCGGTGCCACCAGCTGACGTCATCAGCTGGGCACCTCTGAAATTGATTGACAGTGAGCTTTTAAAACACAACGGCGCTGCCACACGCTGCCGCGGCTCCAACCCTACAAGTAGATTTCCCCCTTTCCTGGGACTTTTGATCAGCCCTTTTGGGATCTGCCAGGCGTTCTGGGGTTTCTATGGGGCGTATGTGGCCCTTTTTGTTACAGTCACTGAACCCCAGCTACGTGTCTTGCTTGCTGTTTTGGCTGCGCAGGCCTTGAGTGGGATGATGCCATGAGTGTATCCTTCCTTAGGGCAGGCTGCCCAGGAATGGGGTATTGACAGCTGCCGGCCATGCCGGCCTTGAGAGGGAGGATGCCATGACAGCATCATTCCCTAATGGAGACTGACCAGGAAACAGGTCCTGGCAGTCACTGTGTTGGGGACTGTAGTGCCTCAGCAGGGTGGTCTAGCTGACACTAAATGTCCAGGCTGCAGCCATAAGCCTGGGCCCTTTTTGGTGTCTCACAGATGTTGCATTTCAGCCCACTCGTGTGGGGCTGAACCCCAGCCATGTGTTGGCTGACAGACATGGGCCAGGGTGAAGCTGTGGCACTTCTTGTTGCTTATTCAGGCCTCAGTGGTATACAGGCCTGGTTGGCTTTTTTTCTGCCCAGCGCAGGCCCAGTCAAATAGGCCTGGGTCTTCTTTTGTCCCTTTTGTACCGTACGCCCCAGCCAAGTGCTGTGTTTGGGTCCAAGCCCAAGGCAACATAGGCCTGGCCCGTTTTCTTGTTTCATAGCTGTTAGGTCTCAGCCAGGCAGTGTGGCTGAGGCTATATGTCCAGGCTGCAGCTACACCGACCTGGCGCTCTCTTGTTGTATGCTCAGGCCCGGGTGTAGGACAGGCCTGAGCCCCGCTTTTATTGATTTACAGCTGTTGTGTCTCAGCATAGCTGTATTGCTGAGCCCTGCTGTACGTTTGTTTGCTGTATGTTGGGCCTGGCACATTTTGGGCCTGGCACAAGTTGCTTTTGTGTCTCTGTGTCCTGACCAGTGCAGCGCGGTTGGCACTGGTTGCAGTTCAGGCTCTTTTGCTGTTTGGCTGGCTTTCCTCGGAGTTCTCTTGCGGTTTCCTGCCCCAGCAGAGCTGGGATGAGGAATAAAAACTTTGGGGTGCGATATACTGATGAAAATTGCCGTTTGCTCTTCAAATCCACCACATGAAAGTGAAGATCAGCACTACAGTTTTGCAGGGAGCAACAAGGGGCCCTTTGCAATACAGAAGGACCTACACTTTCTAGCAGTTCCCTGCGGCACAGTGGACCCATGGAGAAGCTCATTGGACTCTCCAGTCAGGGCTCCCCTTTCCAGCCCCTTGCTGAAAGGCCGGAGTAGGGGGCAGGCCCCCAGAACTACCCACCGAGGAGTCCCAAGTCCCAGTCTGCCTGGGTACGGGTAAAGATCCCCATAAGAGGGTGCCACCTATAGACTTTGTTTTGTAGCTTGTAGTGTTTTAAAATCATAGTTAGTGTTTTACTTTTGTTTTTCTTTATGCCTTGTGATAAATTTGGATTGTGTTTATAGGCTGCCTGTGAGAAAAGGGTGGTTGGTTGTATTGGACACCCTGGTAATTTATTTAGTGTTTCCCAGGTAGAGTGGGTGGGGGTTCGAGCCAAGGTAAAATATATTTAGTATCCCAAAAATTGAACCCGGCCCTTGTTGCTGCTGACAGATGCTCAGCAGAAGGGCTACACTAAGTGCCACAGAAGTGCTGATACTGGTTCACCTGCAGAGGGACAATACAGCAGGGATCTCAGTTCCTGCCTGAAAAGAGAGTTTCTGAGGCCAACCTGGGGTCTTTATCACCAGGTTTAGCTGACCTAAAAAAGCTTACTAGATAAAATAATAATATAATAAAAGCCTTGCCACTTCTGGCTGTGTGTCTGTCTCTCCATCACGCTCTGGAGCGGGCCAGGGCCCGGAGTAGCAGCAGCGGGGTGAGGGAGCGGGGCAAGACCTGGGGCAGCAGCAGCGGGGGGAGTGGAGAAGGACTCGGTGCGGTGGAGGGGGTGTTTTGTGGGGCTGTACCCAGAGTAGTGGGGGGAGGGTGCAGGGCCAGATGCTGGTTTCTATTCCTGTCCCCACCCCCAACACCTCCATCATTCATGACGGGCATTGTGCTAGTAGCAGCATAAGCACCTTTAAAGCATTACATCATCCATGCTAGAGGCAAGGTGGGGCCAGATGCTGGTTTCTGTTCCTGTCCCCAGCCCCAACACCTCCATCATTCATGATGGGCATTGTGCTAGTAGCAGCATAAGCACCTTTAAAGCATTACATCATCCATGCTAGAGGCAAGGTGGTACAATTTTTGTGTGTATTATTCAATCATAGAATCATAGGGCATCTTTACCGGGGCACCAGGGTGGTTGGGCATGGGGGGGGGTGGCATTTTAATGAGAGCATCTCACAGGGTCTTATATATTCAGTGTCCAGTGCTTCAAAACAGTGGCGGGGACACTTTAACTAAGGCTCTCAGATGAGCTTTAGTTAAAGTGCCCCAACCACCATGTTGAAATGCAGGGATGCTGAATACATGTGACACCGAGGTTGCTGGAGCATACTACTTTGAACGCTCCAGCAGACTTGATTAATCAATTAAGCAGAGTCTGCTCTGATGAGTTCTAATTAAAAAGCATTGGAGCAGGCCTTGGGCACATGTATAGGTACCAACAGAAATGCAGGGCTGGAAGAGACTTCTGGGTACGCTCAGGAACCAGGCGGTTCCTCCTTTCTGTGGAGTTACTGTCCCTTCAGGGTGTCCCTTCCCTGTTGTTTTTGCTCACAACAGGAATAAGCCACTCCACAGCTTTGAATGCTAGGTGGTTGCTGATATGATTGACATCCCGCTGGGAAAGAGAAACATCCCTTCAGCACCTTGACATGGTTCCTTGTGCACAGTCTGTGGGATCCCGAGGGGATGGGAGGCTGTGCCATCCTCCACACTTTTTCCAGCAGCCCCAGGAATTACAGGGCCAAGGAAGGCAGCTCTGACTTTGTGTGGGGTCGCTCAGGAATGATCCTGCCCAACCTGTCTGAACTCAGCCTCTCCTGGAGCAATGGGTGGCCTGGTGCATCATTAGCGCCTGGGCAAAGGATCAAGACCACATGGGACTAGTGCCCAATTCACGGGGCTTCTAGGCTCCACCGTCTAAAAATGACTTGCTGCAGTCCCCAGGATGTCACTCCTGCAGACTGTGCCTCAGATACCCCATCTATACCGACCATAGCTACTGGGGTGGAAATGCTCAGGTGTGGGCACGCTCACCTGGCTGCTGCTTTCCTTGTGCATCCCTTGTGAACAGGGGGAGGGGGGTTTCCCTTTCCTTTTTTAAGTTTTCTTGTGGTTGCATGCATTCTTTTTGCCTTGAAGGTACATCTCATCCTTTCCACCCTGAGTCTGCTCCAAATTCAGATGTACCATTTACGATGTCTGTCCTCCTCGCTGTGTGGTACCAACCATGGTCAGCAAGGACATCCTGAGCCAGGATGTGGTATGGAGGAGGAAGTCGGAGGTGGGAAATGGTGGTGCTACTTTGCTCCTCTCTCCTCACAGAGCACTATCCCTGGGGGACCAGTCCCACAAAGATCTAAATCCCAGGCAGGACCGCACCTCTTGAGGAAAAGCTTTGTAACAAAGAAACATGAGGTTCTTTGTAGCTTGCCCCACTTGCTCCCAGCCTTTGCTCCCCTTGTCCAAAAAGGAGCTCCTTACTTTTCTTCTTTTCCCGGTTCACCATCAGAAGCACTTTGCACCAGGATGTGGCTCCTTCTTATTCCCACTCCAATTCCAGTTGCTGGGGAAGGGCTCAGCCAGAGTCCCAGCTGCATCCCCCAGGGCAACCAAGCACCCCTACGTGGCCCAAGGATGTTTGATTTCAAACCTTTGGGAAAGTTCCCCCTGATGTCGTCCGCTTCATTGAAACTCTGGAGCTACGCATGTAATGAGAGAAATGCTGAGCTTGTATTACATTGCAGAGGAGTTCTCTCCCTGGGGGAGGCTGCCTGGTGGGCTCTGGGGCAGTGATCTGGGCATATCACTTAGACCCCTGCTTAGTTTGGCGAAGGCAAGTAGTGACCTGCAACATCCTCCACACGGGGCACGCCTGGAAGTGAACGCAGAATGACCTGGGGAGGGGAGATGGGGTCTCAGTGCATTCCCTGGTGAGCGTACGCGTGCTGCTCCCAGATCAGCAACTGTATGAGAAACGTCCAGGCCACAGAGCACAGAGATGAATGACCTGCTCCTGGAGGCTCCTGTCGGGTAATGGGGCAACATTTGATGCTATTCATCCCTCCAGCTGTAGACAGACAGGAGCTTGAGGAGGGAGGGGTGGGCACCAAGCCCCTCTGCTCTGCCGCAGCCAGGGTAGGGCTAGGCCAGAGAGTGTGGTGTTTCCTATGCTCCTATGCCTTCAACACCCAGCTTCCAGTTGGTGCTGCACAGTCGTGGCACTGCCCAACCCTGCTTTATCATACTGCCACATCATCCTTTCCCCTCCCTAGCCAAAGAAAGGAGTGACATGGACCCAGAGTTTCACTCTGAGGATTATGGCCTTTTTCCTCCTTCTTTCAGCCCCTCCTATGCAACCTGCTGCAATCCAGGACAGCTCTGGGCAGTGCAGGGCTGCTGGGGCGGGGGAGGAACGGCCCCAGCTTCCCGGCAAGGTTGAGCTGTTAACTCCTGACACTTGACATGGTCCTTCTCTCCCCGCACCCAGCAAAGGTAACTCTGGTTTTGTCCCAGGTGGGGATCTTGGCTCCAGCCTTGCCGTTAACACAATCAGGAGGAGAAGAAACATGATTCAAGTTCCTGATTCCCCGTCCACTTCCAGTGTCCTCTGGGAGTCCACCGCCCCAGCTGGGTGCTCCTGTGTTGGGACCATATTGTTTCTGTCCCTGAACACAAACAGATCTGTCCCAACATTTTCTCAAGGGTGTGTTGGGATTTCATGAGGCTGCAGCATGTCCTCCTTCACCCACCCGCTCTGATATCCGCTGTACCTGTTTGCACCCCTGTGTCCTCCTTTCCGTGTTGTACCAACCAAGGTCACCAAGGACATCCTGAGTACAACTAATTTTTAAATTCTTTATTAAAATTTGGGGTCCAACTATAAGGGAGGTAATTTCGGCCTGGGGAATAGTGAAGGCCTGGCATGGGACTGTGGGTCCCTCCAACTCTTGTCCCTGCAAAAAAAGGGAAGAACAGGGGAAATGTTAGGAAAACGCTGAGGCTGCCTGATGTCCGGGCACAAATATCTCATTTGTGGTCACTGTGGTGCCCATGCTGGCTGCTCACTGAGGTGGTCTGGGCTGAGCAGGACGCTGCCTGACTTCAGCCGTCCCTCCCTGCCAGTGCTGGGGATGCTCCCCCATCCCACAGCTGTTTCAGGCACTTTTAAGCTGTGCAGAAAGGCTGTGGTCTCCCAGCACAATAGCACGTAGTCTCCTCCCTGCCCTGCACTGCTTTGTCACCCACACCCTGACGGACCCAAACAGCTCATCCTCTCGGGTCCAAGCAGAGCCTCATTCCCAGACAAGACCCTCCCTGGGGAAGCTGCTTGGGGTGGAGGGTATTGGGGGGGCTCCAGGGGATCTGTAAGAGGGATGACGGAGTAAGGAAGATGTGTCAGAGGCTGTAGAGGAGGTGTTTTTGAGAGGGTCCCTGGCAGGGAGAGGACTCAAGGCCCAAAGCTGCTCAGCTCCCTGCTGTCAGAGCCAGCCCCAGTTCAGTGGCGCCGTCCCTGGCTCTGTGTGGGCAGACATTAATGTCCAGGGAACTTCCACATGGGATTATGAACAAGCCCTTCACCTTCCTCCTCCTCTTACCCAAGCCTCGGCCCCAACCGGAGGAGCCGCTCCTCTTCCTCCTCCCACTCCTGCTCCCGGTCCAGAAAATACTGCTCCGCCTGCTGCTCCTTCTCGATCCAGAACTGGAGGTTCAATGGGAAGCAGGAGGGAACAAAGGAGGAGTCAGTGCAGACAGCAGCAAGTGACCCCACAGGACACATCCCCACAGACACACAGCCACCCTGCCTCACCCCACTGCAGGGACAGGTGAGACACACTTACTTTCGACTTGATCAATGAATGTAACTGGGAGTGCACAATCATGCACACAGAAACCCTTCTCCAGTGCACGGGGACATATGTGTATTCGCCACAACACCCTCGCATGTGAACACAGACTCCCGAGTGCAGGCCCCTTTCTCTGCGTGTGTGTGTTTGTGTTTGTGCTTGTACACATCCATCATCCACAGCCCAATAACCCCATGAGCGACCTCTCACCAGACACACAGACTCATCTACCCCTTGAGAGCACAGGGCGGTGCCCCAGGATTTCACCTTTCTACGCAGTACCCCCAGTTTCTCTATGCCGTGCAGCCGGACAAGGGCTTTTTCCAGCTCCTCCAGCTGCCGGTTTCGTTGGTCCCATTTATGGACAGGGAGGAAAGCCCGGCAGCTCTGAATTTTCAGGCAGTCCTGGAGACTGGTGATATCCTGCCAGGAAACAGAGTCCTTTAAGCACCTTAACATTGCCATGGGCTGGGGATCTTTCTGCACACTCTGTGGGATCCCGAGGGGGTGGGAGGCTGTGCCGTCCTGCACACTGTCGACAGCAGCCCCAGAAATCACAGGGCCCTGGCAGGCAGCTCAGACTCTGCGCAGGGTTGCCCAAGAGGGCTCCTGCCCAACCTCCCCGAACACAGCCTTTCCTGGAGCAACAGGAGGCCTGAGGCACTATTAGCTCCTAGGCACTGGAACGAGACCACATGGGAGTAGTGCTCAAAGCTCAGGGCTCCCAGGCCCCATCCATGGCTCTGCCAATGACCCTC